CAGCAGCTATGGAGGCCCAAAATCTGCCACCCCCCTAGTCAAAAAATTCTACACACCCAGGTGTTGACCTTGAAAAGTGGCAACATGGCAGGAGATATAATATGTGACTAGGTATTAATGAGCGACTGGATCGGACTCAGACCAAGCAATGCTGGACCGATAGGTACTCGTTTATTCCGGTGCTTCGCTACTTTTGTGCACGAGTACTACAGTGTTCGTATATCTAATGACTTACTCCTTAATGACTTATTACTACCTATAGGGTATACCCCCTGAGATTGGACGATCTAGCTGATCTACTGGAACTAGGACTGAGTCCTTTTTTAATTACAGGCTCTCTAGCCTAGCGTTGCAAGCTGGGCACTGAGTCGGATATTATTAGCAGCTCCACATAGGGCACCGATGTGAATGGTGCCGCCTGGCCAGCCCACGCAAATAGGAGGCTCCGTTAATCTAAGGCCCTAGCATTCTCTTCTCTATCGTCAAGAAAAATTTCAACACACCTAGCCAGTCAATGAATGTCGAACTGGAGTACCTGGAATAGAGTAGGCTAATCATAGGACTGCGAGTAGGCTAGTGGCTGATGGTGACCAGCTAGCATTATGCGATCGAAAGATGTCTCGGTACGAGCGGATCATGAGAGACTACTGACTTTAGGTGCTCTGAGCTTCTCAAGAGACCAGCATGACGGAGGACGGGGCGTAGAGTACTATAGGGCGCACCATTGGCGTATGTATTCTAGGGGCTGCTAGCTTTAGCTAGCTATGTGAGGTTAGCGCACGTAATTCCTGCCATACTAGCCACCCTCTAGCTTCCATTAAATATTCTAAACACGAACTAAAGCTTGATGTGAAGGAGACACTGAAAGTGAGCTAAGTTGGCATATGGCAGCTTTGAGACCGCAATGAGGAGGAGACCTGTAAAGTGGCACATGGCATGAGACACTGGGCGATGGAGCAGCAGCATGAGGAGGCAGTATATAGGGGGGCCTATGGCAGATTAGGGGCCCTGGCAGAGCAGCTATAGGAGGCCCGTAATCTGCCAGCACCCTATGTCAAAAAAATTCTACACACACCAGGAGAAGAGAGTGTGAGGGAGCCTGAAAGTGGCACATGGCAGAGTGTGGCGATGGAGACAGCAGCAATGGGAGGCCGTACAGGGACCCATGAGAGACTCTGGACCTGGCAGCAGCATGAGGGAGGCGGTATATAGGGGCCCATGGCAGATTAGGGGCCTGCCTGCTATAGGAGGCCCGTAATCTGCCAGCACCCTATGTCAAAAAATTCAACACACCAGCAGTGTGAGGAGACCTGAAAGTGGGCACATGGCATGAGACACTGTGGACCTGGCATCACATGCAGGACATGAAGGCGGTATATAGGGGCCCATGGCAGATTAGGGGCCTGGCAGCAGCTATGGGAGGCCCGTAATCTGCCAGCACCCTATGTCAAAAAATTCTAACACACCAGCAGTGTGTGAGGAGACCTGAAAGTGGCACATGGCAGAGTGTGGCGATGGAGACAGCAGCAATGGGAGGCCGTACAGGGACCCATGAGAGACTCTGGACCTTGGCAGCAGCAGCATGAGGATGAGGAGGCGGTATATAGGGGCCCATGGCAGATTAGGGGCCTGGCAGCAGCTATGGGAGGCCCGTAATCTGCCAGCACCCTATGTCAAAAAATTCTACACACCAGCAGTGTGTGAGGAGACCTGAAAGTGGCACATGGCAGAGTGTGGCGATGGAGACAGCAGCAGCAATGCAATGGGAGGCCGTACAGGACCCATGAGAGACTCTGGACCTGGCAGCAGCATGAGGAGTGGTAGGCGGTATATAGGGGCCCATGGCAGATTAGGGGCCTGGCAGCAGCTATGGGAGGCCCGTAATCTGCCAGCACCCTATGTCAAAAAATTCTACACACCAGCAGTGTGTGAGGAGACCTGAAAGTGGCACATGGCAGAGTGTGGCGATGGAGACAGCAGCAATGGGAGGCCGTACAGGGACCCATGAGAGACTCTGGACCTGGCAGCAGCATGAGGAGGCGGTATATAGGGGCCCATATGGCAGATTAGGGGCCTGGCAGCAGCTATGGGAGGCCCGTAATCTGCCAGCACCCTATGTCAAAAAATTCTACACACCAGCAGCAGTGTGTGAGGAGACCTGAAAGTGGCACATGGCAGAGTGTGGCGATGGAGACAGCAGCAATGGGAGGCCGTACAGGGACCCATGAGAGACTCTGGACTTGGCAGCAGCATGAGGAGGCGGTATATAGGGGCCCATGGCAGATTAGGGGCCTGGCAGCAGCTATGGGAGGCCCGTAATCTGCCAGCACCCTATGTCAAAAAATTCTAACACACCAGCAGTGTGTGAGGAGACCTGAAAGTGGCACATGGCAGAGTGTGGCGATGGAGACAGCAGCAATGGGAGGCCGTACAGGGACCCATGAGAGACTCTGGACCTGGCAGCAGCATGAGGAGGAGGCGGTATATAGGGGCCCATGGCAGATTAGGGGCCTGGCAGCAGCTATGGGAGGCCCGTAATCTGCCAGCACCCTATGTCAAAAAATTCTACACACCAGCAGTGTGTGAGGAGACCTGAAAGTGGCACATGGCAGAGTGTGGCGATGGAGACAGCAGCAATGGGAGGCCGTACAGGGACCCATGAGAGACTCTGGACCTGGCAGCAGCATGAGGAGGCGGTATATAGGGGGCCCATGGCAGATTAGGGGCCTGGCAGCAGCTATGGGAGGCCCGTAATCTGCTGCCAGCACCCTATGTCAAAAAAATTCAACACACCAGCAGTGTGAGGAGACCTGAAAGTGGCACATGGCAGAGTGTGGTGTGGCGATGGAGACAGCAGCAATGGGAGGCCGTACAGGGACCCATGAGAGACTCTGGACCTGGCAGCAGCAGCATGAGGAGGCGGTATATATAGGGGCCTATGGCAGATTAGGGCCCTGGCAGCAGCTATGGGAGGCCCGTAATCTGCCAGCACCCTATGTCAAAAAATTCTACACACCAGCAGTGTGTGAGGAGACCTGAAAGTGGCACATGGCAGAGACTGTGGCGATGGAGACAGCAGCAATGGGAGGCCGTACAGGGGCCCATGAGAGAGACTTGGACTGGCAGCAGCATGGAGGCGGTATGGGGCAGCAGCTATGAGGCCCGTAATCTGCCAGCACCCTATGTCAAAAAATTCCACACCAGCAGTGTGAGGAGACCTGAAAGTGGCACATGGCAGAGTGTGGCGAATGGAGACAGCAGCAATGGGAGGCCGTACAGGGACCCATGAGAAACTCTGGACCTGGCAGCAGCATGAGGAGGCAGTATATAGGGGGCCTATGGCAGATTAGGGGCCTGGCAGCAGCTATAGGAGGCCCATAATCTGCCAGCACCCTATGTCAAAAAATTTCAACACACCAGCAGTGTGAGGAGACCTAAAGACAGTGGCACCCATGATGAGACACTGCAATGGACCTGGCAGCAGCATGGCAGGAGCATGAGCGGGCGGTATATAGGGGCCATGGCAGATTAGGGGCCTGGCAGCAGCTATGGGAGGCCCGTAATCTGCCAGCACCCCTATGTCAAAAAATTCTACACACACAGCAGTGTGTGAGGAGACCTGAAAGTGGCACATGGGAGTGTGAGAGTGTGGCGATGGAGACAGCAGCAATGGGAGGCCGTACAGGGACCCATGAGAGACTCTGGACTGGCAGCAGCAGCAGCATGAGGAGGCGGTATATAGGGGCCCATGGCAGATTAGGGGGCCTGGCAGCAGCAATGGGAGGCCCGTAATCTGCCAGCACCCTATGTCAAAAAATTCTACACACCAGCAGTGTGTGAGGAGACCTGAAAGTGGCACATGGCAGAGTGTGGCGATGGAGACAGCAGCAATGGGAGGCCGTACAGGGACCCATGAGAGACTCTGGACTTGGCAGCAGCATGAGGAGGCGGTATATAGGGGCCCATGGCAGATTAGGGGCCTGGCAGCAGCTATGGGGAGGCCCGTAATCTGCCAGCACCCTATGTCAAAAAATTCTACACACCAGCAGTGTGTGAGGAGACCTGAAAGTGGCACATGGCAGAGTGTGGCGATGGAGACAGCAGCAATGGGAGGCCCGTACAGGGACCCATGAGAGACTCTGGACTTGGCAGCAGCATGAGGAGGCGGTATATAGGGGGGCCCATGGCAGATTAGGGGCCTGGCAGCAGCTATGGGAGGCCCGTAATCTGCCAGCACCCTATGTCAAAAAATTCTAACACACCAGCAGTGTGTGGGAGACCTGAAAGTGGCACATGGCAGAGTGTGGCGATGGAGACAGCAGCAATGGGAGGCCGTACAGGGACCCATGAGAGACTCTGGACTTGGCAGCAGCATGAGGAGGCGGTATATAGGGGCCCATGGCAGATTAGGGGCCTGGCAGCAGCTATGGGAGGCCCGTAATCTGCCAGCACCCTATGTCAAAAAATTCTACACACCAGCAGTGTGTGAGGAGACCTGAAAGTGGCACATGGCAGAGTGTGGCGATGGAGACAGCAGCAATGGGAGGCCGTACAGGGACCCATGAGAGACTCTGGACTTGGCAGCAGCATGAGGAGGCGGTATATAGGGGCCCATGGCAGATTAGGGGCCTGGCAGCAGCTATGGGAGGCCCGTAATCTGCCAGCACCCTATGTCAAAAAATTCTACACACCAGCAGTGTGAGGAGACCTGAAAGTGGCACATGGCAGAGTGTGGCGATGGAGACAGCAGCAATGGGAGGCCGTACAGGGACCCATGAGAGACTCTGGACCTGGCAGCAGCATGAGGAGGCGGTATATAGGGGCCTATGGCAGATTAGGGGCCTGGCAGCAGCTATGGGAGGCCCGTAATCTGCCAGCACCCTATGTCAAAAAATTCTACACACAGCAGCAGTGTGAGGAGACCTGAAAGTGGCACATGGCATGAGTGTGGCGATGGAGACACAGCAATGGGAGGCGTGGGACCCATGAGAGACTCTGGCAGCAGCATGAGGAGGCGGTATATAGGGGCCATGGCAGATTAGGGGCCTGGCAGCAGCTATGGAGGGCCCGTAATCTGCCAGCACCCTATGTCAAAAAATTCTACACACCAGCAGTGTGTGAGGAGACCTGAAAGTGGCACATGGCAGAGTGTGGCGATGGAGACAGCAGCAATGGGAGGCCGTACAGGGACCCATGAGAGACTCTGGACTGGCAGCAGCATGAGGAGGCGGTATATAGGGGCCCATGGCAGATTAGGGGCCTGGCAGCAGCAATGGGAGGCCCGTAATCTGCCAGCACCCCTATGTCAAAAAATTCTAACACACCAGCAGTGTGTGAGGAGACCTGAAAGTGGCACATGGCAGAGTGTGGCGATGGAGACAGCAGCAATGGGAGGCCGTACAGGGACCCATGAGAGACTCTGGACCTGGCAGCAGCATGAGGAGGCGGTATATAGGGGCCCATGGCAGATTAGGGGCCTGGCAGCAGCTATGGGAGGCCCGTAATCTGCCAGCACCCTATGTCAAAAAATTCTACACACCAGCAGTGTGTGAGGAGACCTGAAAGTGGCACATGGCAGAGTGTGGCGATGGAGACAGCAGCAATGGGAGGCCGTACAGGGACCCATGAGAGACTCTGGACTTGGCAGCAGCATGAGGAGGCGGTATAGGGGGCCCATGGCAGATTAGGGGCCTGGCAGCAGCAGCTATGGGAGGCCCGTAATCTGCCAGCACCCTATGTCAAAAAATTCTAACACACCAGAGTGTGTGAGGAGACCTGAAAGTGGCACATGGCAGAGTGTGGCGATGGAGACAGCAGCAATGGGAGGCCGTACAGGGACCCATGAGAGACTCTGGACTGGCAGCAGCATGAGGAGGCGGTATATAGGGGCCCATGCAGATTAGGGGCCTGGCAGCAGCTATAGGAGGCCCGTAATCTGCCAGCACCCTATGTCAAAAAATTCAACACACCAGCAGTGTGTGTGAGGAGACCTGAAAGTGGCACATGTTTGAGGCATGATTCATGGGCGGATTTAGTCAGTTGTGTCAGGAACTGGTGGTTTGAAATCCAGACTAATCCACGCCTGATTCATTTTCACAAACGTGAGTCTCTCTCCACACTTTGGGTGGACAGTCGTGTCCCTCCGCGGAGTTTACAATACCTCCTGCCGCACTAAACACACGCGCTCCGATGCCACGCTACTGGCCGGGCATGACAGCCTTTCAAGGGCAAATTCAGCTAGTTGGGGCCAAAGGTCAAGTTTCGTTGACCAGTAGTCAAGGGGGATTGTCTACCTCGGTTGGCAGGGTGCTGTCCAAGTAGGCCCAAGCCTGTTTGTTTGAGGTCCTGCTCCAGGTCCACCTGATGCTGCTGCTGCTGCTGCGGCTGGTTAGTAGTTTCCTCACTGCGCTGGTGAAGAAAGCTACTCATCATCGACTGCAGACTGAGGCAGCCGCTGCTGGTGGAGCTGCCACTGCTCCTACCACCACCCCACCCCCCCCTGCTGCCATGGCAGCGGAACGCGAGCGCACAGGGCCCACAGTGTCTGAGGATGGACGTTGGCGCACAAAGGCAGAGACCAACTGACTACATAGGTGGTTTTATATAGTACGTTATTTTGGCCTCCCTCTCAGCAGGTGTGAAAAAGGCCACCATTTTTGAACGGTAGCGAGGGTCCAACAAGGTGGACAGCCAAAAGTCATCCCTCTGTCTGATGGTTATTATTCGGCTGTCGCTACGCAAGCAACCGAGCATGCTATGGGCCATTTGTGCCAAGGAATGCGAGGGACTCCCTGCCTCCATCTCCACAGCATACTGCCACGGTGCGTCTGGGTCCTCTGTCTCCTCCTCCTCCTCCTCCTCCTCTACCAGATGCTCCTGCTCCTCCACTCCTGTCCGCTGAGTGGAAAAACCACCCATTTCACTCAATAATTCCTGAGCACAAATGTCCTCCTCTACCTCCTCCTCTTCTTCCTGTCCTGCCCCCACAGGGGTCATGTGGCGTTGAGATCTGTGCGCCACGTCTACCGCACCCTGACCAGCCATTGTTAACAGCATTTGTTCAAGGACGTGCAACAGAGGAATGACGTCGTTCATCCCCATAGTCCTGCCGACTCACACGAATAGCGTGGCCTCCTCAAAGGGCCTGAGCAAGCGGCAGGTGTCACGCATGAGCATGAGCGCCAATGGCTGACATCGAAGTTACACAGGGGAGTACCTTTATCCGCTTGTAACATCAGGAAATCGGTGATGGCCTTTCGCTGCTCGTAAAGGCGGTCTAACATGTGTAGGGTTGAATTCCACCTTGTTGCAACGTCGCAGATCAGGCGATGATGTGGAATTCCGTTCTGCCGCTGCAGCTCAAGGAGGGTGTGCTTTGCGGTGTAGGAATGGCTGAAATGCATGCAAAGTTTACGTGACATTTTAAGGATGTCTTGCAGTGGGATGGTGGATTTTAGGAACCGCTTGACAACCAGATTGAACACGTGAGCCATGCATGGCGCATGGCACAACCTTCCTTGACGCAGAGCAGACACCATGTTCTTTCCGTTGTCGGTCAACATGGTTCCGATTTTCAGTTTGCGCGGAGACAGCCATCTGTCGATTTCTCTGTTCATTACACTCAGAAGTTCCTCCCCTGTGTGACTACGTTCGCCAAGGCATACCAGGTGCAGAACAGCGTGACACCGTTGCGCCCTGCACATGTGATATGCCGGTCGGGTAATGGGACTTGGCACGGGGGTGGCGGCTGAGGACACGGCGGAAGAAGAGGTGGTAGAGGCGGACATCTTTGCCGGACCAAGGACGTGCAAACGTGGAGGCAAAAGCGGCGTGACCTGTCCAAGTTGCTGGTGCGGCTGTGACGGCACCACGTTCACACCAGTGGGCCGTAAATGACATGTACTGTCCCTGACCGTAGTTACAGCTCCACACGTCGGCGCTGCCGTGCACTTTGGCAGAGACCGACATGCTCAAAGACTGGCCCACCATGTCTTCTACATGTGAATGCAGGGCTGGCACTGCCTTTTTGGCGAAGAAATGACGGCTTGGCACTTGGCACTCTCCACCGCGGCGCGGCACAAGCCATCATTTCTCTGAAAGGTGCTGAGTCCACCACTTGGAAAGGGAGGGACTGCAGCACCAGCAACTTGGACAGGAGGACGTTCAGCTTTTGCACCGTCGGGTGCGTGCTCGCAAACTGTTGTCTCTTGGAAACGGATTCCAAGAAAGACTGCTGCTGACGGAATCCGTGAAGAGGAGTAGCAGGAGAAGGAGCATCTGAACGAGCGGAAGATGCCAACGAGCGACAACTCCCCCTCAGCAGAGGTGTTGGAGCCTTGACTGGCTGATGGAGGGCGATTGACGTCGGGTGACGGAGCAAGTAACGGAGCGGAGTGGGTGATGGAGCGGGGGCTGGGGCGGGCAGAACCGCCGTATCTTTATCACGGTTTTCCCAGGCCACCAAATGGCGACGCTGCATATGCTGCCGCAACGCTGTAGTCCCAACATGGGCCCCCCCTGGCCACGCTTGACTTTCTGGCCACATAGTCGACATACGGCTACGTTTACTTCCTCGGGCGGCTTGACGAAAAATTTGCCCCACACCGCCGAGTAGGAAACTTTGCCCCCGATACTCCTCACTGGCTGACTGCTGCTTCCTCCGTGCACACCGGCACCACCACTACTGGCCGTGGTGGTAGGCTGCAGTGGAGCTGGTGCTCTACTCCGTGGCCGTTTGGCTCCACTGACACTGCTTCCACTGACACTGCTGCGACCCTGCTGCTGTCTCCTGGGCAACCCACCGACTGTTTTTCGCTCACTGCCAAGCTGCCACCCTCTTCTCCTGATGATGCGGAAGAAATTGCCTGATGACGACGAGGCTGGCCCAAGTGCGATCAACCTCCTCATCATCAAGTAGGGTCTCCGCCTCACTACTAAGCCCCCTCGGCTGCGTCTGGGTCAGGAGACAGACCTGTCTCTAGACCGGCTACCGGGCCACTCTCCTCGCCACTACTTCTTCGCCTGGCTGCTGAAAAGGCGGATGTCTCCCCCTGTTCCTGACCGCCCTCTGTTAGCTCTTCCTCACTGTACAGTGGGGCTGAGCCCCACAGCATGCGATACTTCGCTTGGTGAGGGAACACCAAAGGACAGGGGCAGGTAGAGGACACGTGATTTCAGTGGGCTTGGTCCCGGGCCATGCCAACTAACGGTTGTGTCTGACGTACCCACCGACCGTTGGCTGTAGGTGTCAGAGGTGACCTGGGAAGAGGAAGACGACCGAGCCAACCAATCGATGACGGCAGGGTTGTCGGTGGAGACACGACCGCTGGATGACACCGGGAGCACTGGCCTCTGGCTGCGAATAGTGCTGCCTCGACCCCTTCCTCTGCTGCCACGTCTCTGCTCGCTCCTAAAACATTGCCTCCTCTGCCACTCCTCTGCATGTTGTCTGACATACTCTTTAATTAAACGATTATGTGTCCCTGAGTAACAATTCTGTGTCCCTGAGTAACAGTTCTGTGTCCCTCAGTAACAATTCTGTGTCCCTGAGTAACGTTTCTGTGGCCCTCAAGTAACAGTTCTGTGGCCCTCAGTAACAATTCTGTGTCTGTGCGAGTAACAATTCTGTGTCTGTGCGAGTAACAATTCTGTGGTCCCTAAGTAACAGTTCTGTGGCCCTCAGTAACAATTCTGTGTCCCTGATTAACGTTTCTGTGGCCCCAAGTAACAGTTCTGTGGCCCTCAGTAACAATTCTGTGTCTGTGCGAGTAACAATTCTGTGTCTGTGCGAGAAACAATTCTGTGG